TCAAATATTTTCATTACCCATACCAGACATCAGCAAGCCTGAGTTTTCAAATTTCATTTTGCAACATTTTTGACCTATCAAGCTTATTTTGGTAAATAAATTAATCAACTTTTGCAGTGCTGGAACTGAATCTACAGTTTTCCACAAGCTAGGCAAGTGCTCAACCCCTGAACTACAGCTGTAGCCCTCTTCTTACTGTTTAAAAGTTTTGAGTTCAAGGGTTGCCTTGAACTAATTCTGTTTCTTGGCAAGTCTTGAACCTGAGACACTTCTGCCCCAATCTCCCAAGTAGCTAGAATTAGCTATTAAACTAGCAACTGGGCTACCAGATCCGACTGTCTTATTCCTTTTATTGTCTCAGTTATGGGTTTCTCAACTTATTGCTGGTCCTCTGCCAGCACACTAACTGTAGGCTCTATACATGTTGGGTATAAAAGATGGGTTGTGAATATCTGTGTTTTTTTTTTTGTTTATCATGCTTGGCGTCAGTTCAGATAATATGGCATTTATTTGCTCCTTGTAGGTTTGCTAGAACTTGCAAAAAACATCTGAACCTCCTGTTATGAGCAGAGTTCTGCCCAGCCTGAACATGCTCATAACTAAACCTCATTTACACTTATGCCGTGAGTAGAGGAGCGATTTTAAAAACCCAAGAGAAGCATGTCACCACCTAACCAGCAGTAGACATATTTTCTCCTTCTTTCCTTCCTTTTCCTTTCTTTTTCACATCTGCTTTGAATGTTTAAAGAAATGTAATTGAAACAAAACATTGTCCATGATAGTGATGTTCCTCTGTAACTTCTCCTTTTAGATAATTTCTACCCTCAGCTGCAGCCTCTTCCGTGATTTCATTGTGGATCATTCTTGCCTCTGTTATTTATCTAAACCTGGAGAGAGTCTGGACTATCCACGAGGTGTGTAAATAGCATCTAGCTCAGGGTTTGCAGACTTCAAGATTTATATATGCAACATGAAATTGTGTCATTTATTTATTTTTGTTTCAAATTGCTTTGAAGAGTTGCATTTGGGGGCTGGGGAGTTGGCCAAGTCCTTCATCTGAGAGCATGCACGCCAGAGTTTGATGCTCAGGACTCACATAAAGGTGAGGTAGGCATGGTGATGGGCACTTGAAATCCTAGTACTGGGGAGGCAGACACAGGAAATTCTTTGGGGTGGGTTGGCTGGTGCACTGTAGGCCCCAGTGAATAACTGGACAGCCATACCCCCCCAAAAAAAATCTCCACATTTTTCTGTTCTAAGTTTGTTTTTTAATCCCCTCCTGTCTCAACAAAAATCTGTATGGAATCAATCCCACAAGTGTAGGAAAAAAAAAAAAAAAAAAAAAAAAAAAAAAAAAAAAAAAAACCCTGCTCTTGCCATTCTCTTGGAAACAGAAGTGCTCTGGGGCCCTGTGTGGTAGTGCATGGAATTCAGGGTTGTTGTTGTTTTTTCTCTTTTCTCTGTCTATTGACTCAGAGATTCCACAGTGTCTCTATGTGAATATGAACAGTTAACATTTGACAACACATGTCTACTTTCTCTTGTGTAATTTTTTAACTTTAAAAATCCTAAGTTGTAGAATGCTGGGGAGATCACTCGGTGGGTAGAAGCTCTTGACATGCATGTGTGAAGACTTGAGCACCCACATAGAGTCAGGAGTAGCCAGGCATTTGGCCTATAACCCCAGCACTGTGTGGGGGAGAGAAAAAAGACTTACCTGGGGCTTGCTAGCTACAAACCTAGCTCCAGGTTCAGTGAGGACCCTGTCTCAAGGCAACAAGACAGGGATAGAGCAGGACCCCCTGACATCCTCTTTTGGCTTCCACACATATATGCATGGGCACGATCATATCCACACACCTATGCGTGTGAACCACACCCATATACACACACCAAAACAAGGTGCAGGAGGTCAACAAAGGATAGATTTGAGATGTTGATCAGGTTAAGTGGACATTTTGACAGCACAGCTTCTCCTATGGTGTGTCTAATTAAGAAGTTTAACAGACATCCTTACAGTTGAAGGTGACACTTTTAAAATAAAATTCTCAGGCCAGCAAGATGGCTCAACAGCTGAAGGCATTGGGATGGTGACATCAGTGTGATCCCCAGCACCCACATGATGGATGAAGAGAACTGGTTCCTACAAGTCATCCTCTAACCTCCACACAAACATCATGGCACATGCCCACACACATACATATATGCAAAATAATAAACAAATGTAATTTTTATTAGATTTTTTTCCAAATAGGAGGAGAACTGTGGAGCATAATCCCAGCATTTGGGAAGCAGAGGCAGGCAGATCTCTGTAAGTTCCAGATTAGCCAAAACTATGTAGGAAAAAAAAAACCCTGCTAATGTTGACTTGAGCCCTGCCACTAAATGGGAGAATCATCAGAACCTGTAGGATTTTATTTAGAGTTGACAATTCCTTTGATAATTTTGCTTATTTTTCAATCTTTTCTTGTTTTCTCCTGGAAAGGAAAGATGGTGGTCCATTTTAAACTTGAAATGTAGAAGGGTTGTTTTGTTAAAATACAGCTTAGTATGTACACAAAGAACTGGACACTTTACTCTCAGAAGAGAACTAACTGTGGTCTTTGAAGTTTGACTTCTCTAACAGCATCATCCTCAGAATTGGTCACCCTAACTTCCTATTTTGTAGGCACATTGTAGGCTGATCTATAGGCAATGTAGATTGGCTAAGGGGATCTGACTCAATGTCTTAATGTTTCTATAGCTGGGTAATGTGGGTATAGTTTGCTGGTATAAAGTTCTACCTTTGATTTTTTTTTTTAATCTCAATTTGTCGCTTTTTGAAACAAGATTTTAGTTATCTCAATACTGTGGCAATTATGTCTGCTACTACTGTCACACAGACCTGTTGCTCAGTGTCAAGGCATACAGAGGGCAGCTACTAATAGGAATACAAATGGTGGCCAAGAACATGGGCTGTCAGAGTAAGAGTCCTTGCTGGTGGTTAGCAATACTTTGACTCTTAAGTCCGGAGTGTGTAGTGGAAAGTTCTCCAATGTGACTGTGTAGATCTGAACTTACTTCGATGTCATTGTGAGAGAGAGCTACTGGACACCTAAGCTTTTCACTGCTACAAAACAGAGCTAAAATTTGATGAATAGTCAGACTCAAAGCCTTTTGATGGATAAACTTTCTGAATGAACCTATTCCATTAATAAACAGGATGTAACTAAAACCTGTCTGCACAGATAGTATGTCATTTCTGCATAGGTCTCTGTTTAGTTGATGTATACCTGTCAGGAATCTTACCCCAGTTAAGAAACATATTTAATTTTTTTTGTTTTTTAATTAGCCATTAAATAAATTGATTGTAAAAAGACTTAGCTGGGAAATGGTGGTGCATACCTTTAATCCCATTACTCACGAGGCAAAGGCAGGTGGATCTCTGGGTTCGAGGCCAGACTAGTCTACAGAGCAAGTTCCAGGGCAGCTAGGGCTACACAAAGAAACCCTGTGTCTTAGTTAGGATTTCTATTGCTGTGAAGAGACACAATGGCCATGGCAACTTTTATAAAGGGAAACATGTAATTGGGGTGGTTTGCTTAAAGCTCAGAGGTTTAGACCATTACCATCATGGTGGAAATCAAGGCAGCTTGCAGTCAGACATGGTGCTGGAGAAGGAGCTGAGAGTTCTACATCTTGCAGGCAACAATAAGTAATCTGTCTCACTGGGTGTGGCTTCAGCATATATGAGGCCTCAAAGCCCACCTCCACAGTGACACACTTCTTCCAACAAGACCATGCCTCTTAATAGTACCACTCCCTTTGGGAGCCTTTTTTTTTTTTTCAAACCACTATACCCTCACTTGGGAAAAAAACAAACAAACACACCTAGTATTAAGTGAATTATCCCTAAGCTCTCCTCCATGACCAATATCTCAGATTTATTTACTTACTTATATGTGGATAATTTTGACCTGGTTTGGTTTGGTTTGATGTGCGCTCTCTGTAACCCAAGGTGACCTAGAATTCATTATGTATCTGAAGGTGACCTTGAACTACCATTTCTCCTCACAGGTGCTGGGATTGGAGGCATGCACTATCATGCCTGGTTTATGAGGTGCTCTGGATCTAACCCAGGGCTTTATGCATGACAGGTAAGCATCTTACCAATCAGCTGCATTCCTGGTCACTTCAGTTACTTCTGTGACAGCATCTCCTTATGTACCCTGGGCAGCCCAGAGCTCATTATCCTCTCAGCCTCCAGGGTGCTGGGTTTAAAGGTATACGACTCCACACTCATCCCCTAGGTTTATGTTAATCTATAGCTTTCCTGAATTATCTCTGTCTTGGGTTTTTCAAACCCACTCATGATGGGGAAACTGAGATCACTCAGTTCCAAAGAGTTCTTGGTGGTGAAAAGGTTAAAAACCAGATAATTACTTATTCTTCCTCACAGCTTGAGCATCTGTAGTTCCAGACACCTGCTACCCATGGAGATCAAGGCAGACCCATGACCAGAGGGCTCAGGGTCAGTGTATTCAAACATGACCTTAATGAAATCCATAGGAGTACAGTGTGAAAAGGAATGAAAGCAGTCTGTAAGTCTTACTCATTAACCACTCACTTAACCACTCACATTTTTATTAGCAGTTGGCAGCAAAAGCGTCTCCAGAAAGACCAGGCAAAATCAAAAGAAAGGAGAATTGGAGAGAAGACTTTGCTGACGTGAAATGAACTGACATCGGGAAATGAGTGCTGTTGAGAAGATCATGCCTGCTGACATGTCATCCTGGGGTATGATCTCCTCAGAGCTGACGCATTCTCTCCCCAGCACTGAGAGAGAACGTGGGTCGGAACTCCAGGAAAGCCAGGGAGGGCAGCGTCTGTGCAGGGCTGGAGGCAGACACCCACAGGATGGCTCCACGCTTGTGGACTGTATGTAGCACATCCTCAGAAGAGCTATGAAGTATTCCATTGTGAAGATGAGCCTCAGGGAGGCTGGACTCACAGCCACGTTGTCAGGAAGCGGGCGCGCAGGTGCCTTCTTGGCACACATTTGGAGAAGTTGGTGGACAGCAAGCGGGGCCATTGCTGGAAGGTTTGCCTAAACCAGTCACACAGCAAGGGGGCGGGCAAGAAGGAGATTGGCAGCCGCTCTGATTGGAAGCGGGTCCAGATTGGCAGCTGCTCTGATTGGAAGTGGGTCCACCGCAAGTCAGTCTGCTAGAAACCATAACACACGAAGTTGATCTACCACTGCTCTTTGCACAACAGGGGTACTGGCAGGTAACCACCGGCTGACAGATGCAGGAGCCTGGAGGTGCTGGTTGACAGTGAAGTGGCTGGCAAGAGGCAGGCACACAACAAGTTTGAGTGCAAGAACTGAACATACAAGATAATGGCTGGCAGGAGACAGGCATGCAGGGAGCTGACTGGCAGGGCTTGAGAATATAGCAGATAGGTTGGTAATAAACTGACTCGCAGAGCTGACCTTCACCTTTGATGGGTTGATGTGACCCTCCTTGGCAGCAAGTTGGTTGGCATGGACCAGCCTCACAGCTGACTGGTAGACACAGAGTCTCACCACAGGAAGTTGCTTCAGAGCAGGATGGCTGGCAGGATCCATCATCACAGTAGGTGGATGGGCCACATGATGCTTCACATGACCCTGATGTGCAGACGGGTTCCTGGCTGGAGCTCTGGTGGCAGGGGCTATTATCACAGCATGTCGTCGTCGTGTGACAACCAGCAAATTCCACACAAGAGGGCTGGCAGGAGGCAGCTGGATGAGGAGGCCCACCGGTGTCAGGTGCACAGCAGGCTGCGTGTGAACCTATGGGTTGGCAAACAAAACCCACACAGGAAGTGTCTGGAAAACAGGTTGATGGACAAGAAACAGGTTCAGAGGTATCTGGGGCACTGTTGGATGGTTTGCAGTTTTCTTGATGTGTAACCAGTTGCCATGTCCTGGTCTGGCAGGAACTGGGCAAACGGATAGCATTTCTAATGCTGCCACCATTGGAGCATGTGGAGATGGTGGGCACAGGTGGGACAGCCTTGGGATTTCCAGGACAACAGCTGTCTGTCATGGTGTCCCTGCTAGCCTGGCTGGGAAGCTACAAGTACAAGCTCAGTCTGCGTTTGAAAAAGCGTCTTGTTTCAAGGGGATTTTATAGCCCTTCCCTGGGGTGTTGGCACCACCCACAGCATCTTTCCTTGTTATTGTTCTTATTCATTTGCATATAAACATCAGATTAGTGCTTCAGGAGCTGGGGAAGATGCCCCCACTTAAAAATAAGAAACCTGTCTGCTGAGCGAGGAGTTCTCTTTGCCGAATTTGGAGGCTTGGATGCCATTGTGGAATGAGCTGTCTCCTTTACAGGTTGTTTCTCAGCCTCACCAACGCAGGCTTTTCCTCACTACCCTCTCATCAGGAGGCCTCCTCCAAGCGGAAGCCGCTCTTCCTCCAGTATGCAGGTCTGTGCCATTAGGATCAGGTGATGCACTGACGGAATCTCTTGAGAGGTGTGGTAACAAAGACGGAGAACAGAAAATGAGTTGGTGGAAGCCGAGGGTGTTTAAATGTGCCCCCTCTCTACAGAATCTTAGCTTTCAAATTGCTGCCAAAAAGTAACAGCTGTTAAAGCTTCCATTCACTGCACACTTACCATATATGATCAAGCCCTTGGTGGTATCTTCATTTATCCTTGAAATGACCTTAGCTAGTATGCTTGGCATCTCCATTTTAAAAGTAGCAAAACAAACTCAGAGTTTGAATTTGATTAAAAACAAAATTCAAATCCAGAGTGATCATTGCCAAAATCTCTGCTCAGTTGGATCTCCCGGGGAGGTGCAGAGAAAAGGACTCATACTGTGGAGGCTGAGGAATGGCATTCACACATTCCTCAGCAGCATGTCCAGGCCCTGCAATGGAGGTCATCTCCCCAACACAGAGTGGTGCTGGCTGACTCAAAGGAGTTCAATGTTTACCCCTAATTAGTAATACACCCAAAGATAATCTTTTTATTCGGAAATTTAAAATACAAACATTTAGTCAAGCGTGGCAGATCACCCCTATAATTCTAATACTTGGGAAGCTAAGGCAGAAGGGTTGCTGTAGGTTCAAGCCCTGTGTGGGTCACATAGTAAGTTCCATGTCAGCCTGAACCAGGGTATGAGAAACTTCTCAAAAACTTCTGGGGAAGAAAAACAAAGCTTCTGATATTTCGTGAAGGAGTATTAACTCATAAAAATGGAGGTCAACAGCTTATGAATTCCACAAATATAAAATGTCAACAACCAGAAATACCAGATCTTCTCCACAAAGCCTTTTAAAGTTCAAGCAATGTCTTCCAAGAAAAATGTGTGGTGCTCTCTCTCTCTTTTTCCTCTAGGCTCAACTGGGTGCTGCACCACCGACTGATTCCAGCATCCCACAGAAGTGCCCATCTTGGCCTCATTCCTGCTGGAGGCATGCAGTGGAACGGAAAGATGATGGTGTAGGATGGCAGGCAGGGCTAGTCTTGACTTCTGGCTTTGCAGCTCATTCTGTGGAACAGGTTTGCTCATTACCCGCATCTTCAAAGTACCGAGCCATCATAAACTGCCTTGATGTTTCTTAGGTTAAGTCAGCTGCCTCCGAAAGAGCTGAAATGGCTAAAGATTCTGGCGAGGGCTTGGCAAAGGAGCAGCTATGGAATCCTGTCTTATTGGCTCCCTCTCTACCCTCTACTTTGAAAGAAGAGAAGCCCCTAATGAGAGTCATGTCTGGAAGACATTCACCCTTGCCACTGAAGAGCCCTCCCCTATCACTGTCTTTCCTGTCATGGCATGGATGGCTTCTGGCATCTACCTTTTCATGATGCTCACTCTGTCATCTTTAAAACTTCAGATGTCATGCACCCCTATATAACTTGGAAAGCTGGGGAATATGCTTTATTCTGGAAGGCGTCTACCCCCAAGTTCTTCGTCTCCTAAGAGAAATACATTTAGTCTCACCAAATAAGTCGACCAAACTAGAAAATATAAAAATATGTGAAAAGTCACATCAATTACAACTTGAAAAAATGAAATTCCGTGCAGAGACACACCAGTTGCATGGATAGAAAGCTCCATTTTTCATCTATATTTTCTCTAAGTGATTCTGTTTTTGCTTCCTTTAAAAAAAAAAGTACTCCAATCAAGAGAGATTTTTATTTTCAATCAACTTAATGTGATTGAAGGCACTGAAGACATTGACAATGTCATTCACAGACATTTCCTGACTGCATCAAGAAATTCAACAATGGGACTGGAGAGAGGACTCGGTGTTTAGGAGTGCTGCCTGAACAGCCGTGGAGACCAGAGTTCAGATGCCACATAAAGAGCCAGCCATGGCTGTGGGTGCTCACGACCTCACTATGGTTGGAGTTTGAGACAGAAGGATCACTAGTGTTTGTTGGTCACCAGCCCAGCTTCAGTGTGAGTTCTTGTGTCCAGGAAATAAGTCAGAGTGATGGAGTGGGACCAGTGAAGTCCTCTGGCTGCAGCGCACACTCACACCTGCACAATACATGCACATTCACTGCGTACAATCCCTCTGCTTCTCCCTCTCTGCCTCTCTCTCTCTCTCTCTCTCTCTCTTTCTCTCTCCATCTCATATAGTGATCAAATATAATTTAAAAAAAAACTTTCTACCCAACTATAAGTTTGAAATAATTTGTTACTTACTAGCTGCAACTACCCTGAAAGTATATATATATTGTGTGTGTGTGTGTATATCTTTGTATCTGTGTATTTATATGTGTGTATATCCATACATATATATGGATGGATTGTTTTTATACTTTAGAAACACATATGATCTTCTAGCGATTATTTTAATCAATCAACATCATTATTAGGGAATCACCAGTGTTACTGCATGTAGCTATATCTTCCATTTATTTTCGCTGCAGCATAATACTTTGTTGTATTAATTAAACCACATTTTATGTATCTCTTCATTGGCACTTGGCTTATTTCATCTTACACATAGAGGAGAAACAGGGCAGGGAGAAATCCCACCTTGAAGAATAATAGTGATTTACATAAAACTCTAAGTCTAATGCCTAACACAGAGGCTGGAAACCCTGGCTAACTGCTCTTGTGACTTTGGAAGGAGAGAGACTAAATCCTAATGTCCTGTTATGGCAGTACCTCCACCACCCATGTGCAGATAAGTTTTGCCAGTGACTTTCTCCCTCTGCCATCACCAAATCTACTGATTCTCCTGTGGCTGATTTCTGGACTCCCTGGGGATGTCTGGCAACATCTGTCTGGTTAATGGACCAGGAATTATGTTTAATGATATCCAAGACTCCTCAGTGAGCGACTGTCCCATCCAAATGCCCACAGTGACAAAGCTGAGAAGCCCTGGCCTGTCCTCTTCCTGTGCCTGTGGTGGTTCAAGTTAGACCTAGAGGGCAGGAAACCACCCTCCATTCTGTGTGCAGAGGATGTGGCTGCTTTGAAGGGACCATGTGCATGAGTGTAAGGTGTAAGAGGTGACATTGGAATGACGAGTGTCTGTGGGGAGCAGAACATAAACCCTCCCACAAGAACCCCCCTTGCCCCACCCTTCCTCCTGCAAACAAGACTCCCATTTGTTGTTTTCATCCCTCTTTGACCCCCAGAGATTTTTTTCTTCCATTTTCTCTGCATCCAGGGCCATGTCTTCCCACTGAGCTCTCCATGCCAAGGCCAGAGAGACTTTCCAAAACCCATTGTTCTTCATGTCCTTGCCCTGCATACAGGCCCTTAGTCCTTCACACAAGCCCTTTACCGGCCCAAGCCTCCATCTAGCACACAAGAACCTCTCTGGGAAGATTATTGCCTGCTACCCAGGCTCAGGGCTTATCTTCCCTCTGAGGACACCTCTGGCCAAGCGTCACCTCGTGAGCTCCCAGCCTCATTCCTTTGTAAGTACTTTTCCTTCCTAGAAAGCCCCTCCTTCTCTGTACCTGGTCCATTCTTTCTTGTACCACAGGATATGAGCCCTCTGCTTGGCATAAAGGAATATAGTAACTGTCTCATCGCTGTGTGTCACCACATCACAGAGTGATCGCCCAAAGACTGGGCACTGAGACTTCTGTCTTTCGTTCCTAGAGCATAACACTATCCTTGTCACTTACATAGCAGCTGTTCTAGAATGGCCACTGGTTGGAAGGATAAGTAGGTTGGAAGGGAGGGAGGGAGGGAGGGAGGGAGGGAGGGAGGAAGAGAAGAAGGGAAGGAGGAAGGAAGAAAGGAGAGATGAAAAAAGAGATAAAGGGAGGAAGGGGAGAAAAACAGGGGAGAGAAAGAAGGGAGGACAAAAGAGAGAAAAGGAAAGGAGGGACAGAGAAAGAGGGAAGGAAGGAAGACTAGAAGGAAGGGAGAGAACAATGGACACTTTGAAGGGAGGGGGAATTAAGGAAGAGAGGTGGGAAGTAAAGAATGAAGGGAGGAAGAATAGAAAGGAAGAAGGGAGGGAAGAAAGCAAAGAATGAGGAATATAAAGAAGCTAGTAAACAATAGATGCTTTAAAAGGGAAGGAAGGAAGAAAAAGAAAGAAGGGATGGAGGGAAGGAAGAAATAATTGAAGGAAAAGAGAGAACAATAACATCTTTAAAGGGAAGGAGAGGAGTGGAAAGGAAGAGGAGGGGGTAGGGGAGATGGAAGAAAGGGAGGGAGGGAGGGAAGAAGAGAGGGAAGGAAAAAGGAAGAAGAGGAGAAAACATACATGGAAGGAATAATGAGTGGAGGTAAGGAGGGAATAGACGGATTGTGGGATGAATGAACAGATGGATGGATGGATGGATGGATGGATGGATGGATGGATGAAGGTACAGGTGAATAAAAAGAAGAAGAGATTTTGGAAGAAGGAAGGGAGGAATGGTGAGATGGATGGATGGATGAAGGATGAGTGTATGGAGGCATGCATGGATGAACAGAAGGAAGGATGGACAGAAGGAGGCTGGGGAGAGCCTCTCTCCAAGCTGAAGCCTGACTCTGATGAGACTGTCACGTTAAAAGAAGAGCATGAACAGTGTGTCACTTCAACTTTGCTACTTTTATTGCACGATTATAT